AGTTTATTTTCTCTACATTTGAGAAATGATTTGAAACATTTACTTTATAAATGTTTTTTCAAATAAGATTGACTAATGACAACAAATTCAAATATATGTACTATTTAATTATGTTTATATGATTTTAATTGTAACCATTTTTCGATAGGTACACGTATTTTGAAATGTAAGATTTAAAATCGAGTTTTAGTTATTTTATTTTATTTTTATAACGACTATATTTTTATTTATATTATAGATTAATGTATATAATACATATTATCATAAAAAAAAACATTTATACTATACATACCATTGTAAACTTAAATCATATCACGATGAATATAAAATAATGATTCTTTCATATTTTACTTTTATCTTATTATTTTATAGTCAATATTATATATTTGTTTATTTTTCCTACTTTTGAGAAGTGATTTGCAATATTTAATTTATGAATAATTTTATAAATAAGATTGGATAATGGCAACAAATTTATAGTAAACGTTCTATTTATTTTAATTTAATTGATATTATTTGTGATTATTTTTTAATAATTACACGTATTTTAAAATTCAAGATTTAAAATAAAGTTTTGGTATTTATTTTATATTTATAATTACTCTATTTGTATTTATATTACAATTAAAGTAAACGATGCGATAAAATTAATTTATGCAACACATATTATCATAAAGAAAGAACATTTATACTATACATACCATTAACTTGTAAACTTAAATTATATTATGCTTGTTGTTTTAGTGAGTAATTTAGCAAAACATTTCTATTAAAATTATATATTTTACACTTAACGAGTAACTCTTTTCGACATAAATTTTACATTTTTGTATGTTGAAGATTATTTTTGATTCAACCATTATTAAACATATGCATGTCAATTAAACATATGCACCAATGAAAGTATTATCTCTAGTTTCCATATATCATATTTTACTATAGATATTTTATGTTATAGTATTAAAAAAATTAAAGAGGAACAATTTAGTGAACATGCATATGTTTAAAAGTGATTGAATCAAAAATAGTTATTCAACATAAAAAAATTCAATTATTTTAATTAAAAGTTAAATTGTCATTTGAAACAATTTTAATTTTGAAACAATTTTAATTGTTTATATTATAATCAGTAACTTTTAGATTTAAGGGTAACTTTATGGAAGTAACATAATATAACACTTTTGAGTTTTAAGGGTAGTAGTGACATTTTAGATTTTATTTACATGTGGTTGG